ACCCCGCCCACAAGAAGCCCTGCTCGATACGATTCGTTTCATTTCACACCCGTGTTTCGGCAGCGGGCGTCACGTGACGCTACGCCAGATTCGTTCGCTTTAGTGTTATTCCACACCTGTATTCCGTCAGACCACGTCCCCCTTGTCACCCTGTTCGCTGCGACTCGTTTCTTTTTACACCCGTATTACGTCAGGCCCCGCCCTCCCACGCTAGGATGGACACGTCCAGAAGGGTACGATTTTTTTTCCCCCAGGTCTGAAGTCTGACAAGCCCCGCCCTCTTACGCCGAATCTACTGCGGTTCGTTTCATTTTACACCCGTTTTTTGGCAGCTGGCGTCACGCCAGAGTCGTTTGCGGCCACAGAATGGGGCGATTAGTTTTACTGCACACCTATGTTCCTCGAAACCCCGCCCACCCGTATTCCGCAAACCCTGACTAGCGTGCTGCCTGGTGCGACTCGTTTTCACGCCTGAAGTCGATCAGGCCCCGCCCACTGGGATTGGCTAGAACTGTCCCATGCTGATATTGCCCCACCCCCTAGTTGTCCCTGCCTTACGATTGGCTAATTGTAGTCCCACGCCTTCCACTAGTTATGTACAGTAGAAGCCTCTCTGTGCAGGCCGCCCTACAAGTAGCGCAGGAGGGCGGGGCTTCTCAGAAAACACGTAGGAAATATGATAATCCTAGAAGCGAATTTGGACTTGTATTTGTTAAAGAGTTACGTGTGATTTTAAAAGACACGTGTCACGTTTTTCTTTTTGTGAGGTCACAAAAGCCAGCGTGTCTACAAACATCTGCATATGAACCTACAGCAGTTTAGCTCCGCCCACACACACTTAAAAGGACTTATAAAAAGTTTTTCTTGAATGAGGCACAATACAGGGCAGCCATTCAGAACAGAGCTCATTTGCATACATCAATCTTAAAGGCCCAGTAACAAAAAATAGCCCAGTAACAAAAACGGCCTGTTTACTTCTAAACAGATAAATTGAAGTTGGAGGAAAATAAAATGATCACGTAAAATGATTTCTGACTGTTTTTGGTGTGTAAACACACAGAACTATTTTAAATAAAATAACAGAAAAAAGTAGGATATGGGCCCTTTAACAGGAGGTCATATAGAGGTCAAAAGTTAAAGGGGGATTCCACTGATTTTTCCAAATTTCTGCATAAATCAATCGTTGATATGTAAAGAAAGTCATTCAGAGTATTTTGATATGAGGTGGTAAACTGCAGAGAGACTTGCTGACTTAGATTTCTTCACAGTAGTGCTGATAGTAACCAGGCGTCACTGTCGCTATCTGATCTGAGTCCTCGGCCTGATTTGCACCGAGTCACTGTCACGCATGCGTACACTGCGTTACGTTTCACGCCGCTGCCCGATCTGAACCCGCAGGCCTGTCTTGTTATGACGTCGTATTAGCTAATAGCCTGGGGCGTTTAATACTGAAGCCGCGTTACATGATGAGTCTCATTCTCTCTCCTAGTTTGACGCTACTTATCATTAAGTTTCTGCCTGTGAGTGAAAACAGAGCGCAGTGAGACGAGAGGGGTGCAGACAAAACCCGCTGAGTTATTATCATCTTGGTTTAGGATGCGAGCTGTCTCCTCCCTCCTTATGTACTGCGCTGCACAGGTCACACAGGTCAGGAACTCGGGTTCCACACCAAAACAGCTGTGCAGCTTTGACTGAATATAAACGGCTTTTATTTGGACATGTAATGCAGTGCATTTACATGCGCTCAATAATCCGATCATAATCGGATTTCTGCAGTTATCCGATTATTGAAATGGTCAGGTAAACACCATACTCCAATCTAGAAATCCGATTAAGAAATCTGATAAAGAGGCTGGATTTTAGCTCAGTAATCAGATTTCTCAGTGCTGTAAACTCTTACTCTGATTTCTATCGGATTTCTCAGTCTGAGCATGTGCGAAACAGACAGCGGAACCGGAAATAAGCGAGCAGCGTTGCCACGAGACGCAGCTAAACACTTTTGAAGCGGCGCTGAATCCAAACACGAAATATAGGATTTAAATATTCTTCATCTTATAGATGATGTAAGTTCATATTTTCAGGTAAAATGGTGTGATGTTTTAAAAAAAAGTCACGGCATGAAGTTTGAGTTTTACGTTTTCATCACGTCTGATTCTGTGAGTTTATTGGCTGGTTGTAAAGCAGTAATCTGATTACTGTCTGACTCATGTAGACCCGGAGTTTCCCCTTTATCTGATTACTCAAGAGCATGTAAACTTGTTGATCAGATTACTGACAAAATCTGATTTTCTGCAGTTATTCTGCAGTTATTATTGAGTGCATGTAAACACACTCAGTGTTTGTGTATATTTTGCCCAGCTCTGCTCAAGCTTTTGTTATTACAGTGCAAATACAGGAGAATGAGACTAGCAGCTCAGGTAGATAATGACACCTTAAAGCTCAGTGTCCCCTGCTGAAAAAATATCATAGAAACCATTAAAAGTCTCTGCTGCTTCCTGTTGGTGACCAATAGTCACTAATGGTATTCTGTGCTTTCCTGATGGGTTGATATCACAGTGTAAAGGACTCTAATGGTTTAAGAGGTGTTCGTGGTCCAGATGCATTTTGCTGCTATATAAAACCATTTTTTCAAAAAGAAAACCTCGTTTTTTACATAATTTGAAAATGCCTGTTGTCTTTTACATTGTGCGTAAATTTCACGATGAATGGATCAAAAGAAACGACCCAAAGTGACTTGGAAAAAAGTCTGGTTCCATTGACTGACATTAAAAGTAAAGTATTATTACTTTTATTTGTTGGATTTTTTTATTGATTGTTGTTCTATTCTTGATTATCTTTCTTACTTATCCTTCTCTCTGAGCTGCATGTAAGGTATGAAAGGTGCTGTATAAATAAAGACTTATTCTTATTATTTTTATTATTACAGGAAACTAGTGGTCCGGTTAAGCCAATTACCGTTAAAAAGCAAAAACATCCGATTTTAATCCTAATGGTTATGTAATGGTTATGGTCTTTCAGCAGGGTTTTCATTGATAAACATGTAGGAAGAAAGCAAAGGACACATGGAGCTACTACTGAAGGATGTGGCTGTTTTGTTTTAACTCCAGGTAGATCGGGCAGTGCTGGTAAAAGTAATATTCTCTAAACATGCGTGACAGTGGAGCAAATCAGGTAGCGACAATCACCAAGATTACAACATAAATATAGAATGTTTTCATTGAATCTTCTTTTTCATTCATATGTAATACTGATAATGAGAGAACAGTGTTAACAAAACCTTATTTCAAACCTATCATAAAACAGTGTCTCAGTCATCAGGCACTGAATTCATAACCATTTCATGTAGGAACTTTCTGTGAGGGAGCTTTTAGAGGTGGACGTCTGGTTCCTATCACCACCACTGTGAACAGTTCTGACTCGTTTCACACCAAACCCCTCTGAACGTCTCTGTTTACGTCTTAACCATTGAATTATGTAGAATTTAAACTGAATGAGCTGCACTGATTGCTGTCATCTCCCTCAGAGTTGAGTATAACCAGTGCTGAGGCCCCCTGGTGGCCAGGAGGAGTTGACAGGGGCCCTCCTGTCTGGCTTATTATGCATTCAGTTTGAAAGAGTTCCCCTTTAAGAGTCAGATGGAGAAAATTGTCAGGACAATCTAACATAGAACAGCAAGACATAAAAAGTAAATCTAAGAAGAATTTAGGAAGGATTTCAACCCACAGAAGGCATTTGTGAAGGCCCACATGCAGCCATGGTGAAAGCTCAGCTCTCCATCTCCAGTGTGAATTAATCTGATGATATTTCTGCCTCAGGGCTCCGTGTGCTCTGTGGGCTGTTCCCTCAGGCCTCTAAAATACCTACACACTTTTCTAATAACAGGCCTAATTTCTGATATTTCTAGAGAAAGAATCTGCTCAACTGAAAATACCCTGATCCAAAGTCTTAAATATGCTCAAACTAAGAGGTGTAAAACACATTCAGCGCAATGCTTAATATCAAATAGGTTCATTTATTCATATTCCTTTTGATAGAGAAGCACACCCACAAAATAATCAATAAAATGTGCTCCACAACAAAGCAAACCTGTGTGTGTCAACCAGGGTAAAAGCAGAATTATAATAAAAAACATTTTATTTAGTTTGAGAATAACCCAACATAACTCACTTGGAGTAACACAGCATATGACGCTATAGCCAGAATAAAATAGCCTAAATTGAACTTTAAGGTCAAATCTTGGTCAAAGAATTTAACTGAATTCATGATTTGTGCCCTCTTGGTTCAAATCCCCAGCCAAAACTGCAGAACAGTGCCACCCTGAGTGCTAGTTGAGTTACAACACATTGAGGTCAACACACATAGTGACCCATAATGACCAGAGTTTTAGCTCTGTTAATTTCAGGTTGAATTATAGCAATTTCAGGAGTTTTAACACACACCACTTAATGACAAACACTCTATGGCTCCCCAGAAATGTGAGAATTATATCATAACTTTAGACATAAGGAGTCCCAGAAGTGCTTCACAGATCCAGACCCACCAATTTTAATGGATAGTTTGTAGAAATGTCAAATTTACCCACTTTTTATGGAGAGAAATTGGTGCCAGATTGAAAAGCATCACAGTGGAAAAACGTGAAATGCAATGAACACACGACATTACTGTTCTATAGCTTCATGCAGGATACGAGCCAAAATGAAATACAAACCCTCTATTACACGTTTTCACCTCACTTAACCTCTTTACTGAAAAAAACAATGCGTGAGAATTTTCATTTTAAAAATGTAAAAACTGTAAAAACCTTGTTAAGTTATTAACAAAGTTAATAAGTTGCTTGTTAATTTCTCTTCTTGCTACTTCTTTTCTTTTCTTGAGTGTCTTGCTCTCCCTTTGCTGCTGTAACACTGAGAATTTCCCCGCTGTGGAGCTAATAAAGGATTTTCTTATCTTAATGCTGCATTGGTGTCAGAATGGAACACAGTCCGTAATGAAGGCACTATACTGCTTTCCACTGTGCAGTATTTTAAACTGCGATAAATCAGTTTAATGGATCTTTTAGTTTTGGCATATTTTCTGCATGGTGCTGTTTAAATGCAATCATGTGTGCTGCATTTCACTGTTCTGGTTGTATTTCAATGAGGCAAATACATCCGAAGTACAAAAAAGAAGTCACGTAATGTGAAAAGTGTAGTAGAGGTTTTGCTGTTCATTTTTGCTCATATTCTGCACGTCACATGTGGAAAAGTGACATCATGTGTGCACTACTTTTCACTGTTTTCACTGTTATGATGCGTTTCAGTGAGGAAAATCTATTTAAAGTACCGCACAGTGGAAAGCAGTATAGGCCTGCATTTATTACATTTTAAGGTGGATTGTATTCAATTCTGACACCAGTGCAGCATTTTTTTTTTAAATGAAAAGCTTCATGCATTGTTTTTAGTAAAGAGGTGAAATGATGTGAAATAGAGGGTTTGTTTTTCATTTTGGCTCGAAATCTTAAGCCAGAAAATCTTGAAAATAAGCAGTTTTGTTTAAAGATGAACAGACTAGATTTGCTTGTATGAGATTACTCAGCCAGCTTTTACAAACATTACAATTCTCTTGGAGAAATGAGCGAATTATACTGACCTGTTAACATAAAATCAGAGACCTAAAAAATTTGAAACACTTCACTTTGAAAGACGAAATTTCAGCACAACTTGGCTTAGTTAAAGACTTTGACTGGGCAGAAGTCTCATTTTATAATCTTAAAAACATTCCAAACACACTGCTTTCCTAAAATAAGTCATGTTTAAATTTGTTCTATTATAGCGAAGAGCTGATTAATCTCATACATACAAATCTAGTCTGTTAATCTTACAATATTTTCCCGTTTAAGAGAGCCAGTGTTGCCACGTGATCACTTGATTTGTTTTGGGCCTTTGATCCACTGTGTTTCACTTTTATTATCATAGGTGAAGCTTTCCATGCATCAGTTTAAGAAGTGTTTTCAGTAATGTGTCTTATTTTAAGCATTACAGTGTCAAATTTAGCACACAATGAGGTTTTAAGAAACAAGATTCATGATAGTTTTTGCTAATTTTATATTACTATTATTATTATGACATCAGATCAAATTAGTGTCACCTAAAACCAGCCACAGTGCCTTAAACAAATGACATATTTACTGATTTTAAGATTAGAAGATCAGCTCAAGATGCTTCTCTCATTTTTTGCAGTGTGTATATTTGACATTTCTCCTAGATGTTCCTTCTGGTCTATGTGTGCTCTTTGCGTCCCAGCAGTCTCTTGAAGGCCTGCTTGAAGTCCTCATTGAAGCTGGTGTACAGCAGCGGGTTGATCAGCGAGTTGACGTAGCCCAGCCAGGTGAGGAAGTCGGAGACCCTGCGGGACGGGTGCAGCACCTTCAGGCCCACCAGCAGCTCCTTGACGAAAAATGGCAGCCAACAGGCGATGAAGGCGCCAAGTATGAGGCCCAGGATGCGGGCGGCCTTCCGCTCGCGGGAGCTGCAGATCTGGTTACGCTCGTCTGCCAGCGGGTCGACGTTGAGCTGGTCGAACTCCATGGTGGGGTCGGAGGTGGACAGGTCAGACACGCAGAAGGCGTGGGTGACCCGGCAGTGGTTTGGCTGCGAGTTCTGGCTGTCCGTGCTGCGGCTGCTGAGGTGCCGTGACGAGCCGCGCTTCTGGTACAGGGTCTTGGCAGCACTGTAGATGCGCGAGTACAGGATCAGGATGAGCGTCATGGGGATGTAGAATGCGCCAAACGTGGAGTAGATGCTGTAGCCCACCTGGTCGTGCTCTATGAAGCACTCGCTGGGGCCGTTACCGTCGCTGCGGTGCCGCCAGAACAGGGGTGGCATGGATATGAAGATGGAGATGACCCACACACTGGTTACCATAACCACGGCACGGCGGGGGGTCCTCTTGCGGGCGTACTCAATGGCCTTGGTGATGGCCCAGTAGCGGTCGAGCGCGATCACGCACAGGTGCAGGATGGAACAGGTGCAGCAGGTCATGTCCACACTTAGCCACACCTCGCACATCACCTGGCCCAGGCACCACGTCTCCGTGGCGATGTACAGGATGCTCAGTGGCATCACCAGCACTGCCACGAGAAAGTCTGTGACGGCCAGTGAGCAGATGAGGTAGTTGGCGGGCAGCTGGAGCTTCCTCGTGGTGAAGATCGCCGCAATCACGGCCGCGTTCACTACTGCGGTCGACAGCGTTAGCAAACCCAGAGTGACCACCACCGCCAGGCGCTCTGTAACCATGGAAACGTGGAACGCCGCCCCTGGGGTTGATGTGGCGTTGGTGCCATTGAGTGAAGGGGGAGTTCCAGAGGTTTCCCCCAGGTAGCGCTCCATTTCTACTCCAGCTCGGATTACTCTAGCCAGGCAGGACGGTCCCTGACGCCTCCTCCTGGCCACCACTGATTATACGCAACCCTGAGGGATACAACACAGCAATAAGTGCAGTTCATTCAATTTAAATTCTGCATAATTAAGTGGTTCAGATGTAATCAGAGCGGTTCAGAGTGGTTTGGTGTGAAACGCTCTGTTCTAGATAAACTTACCGAGTCAGAACTGTTCACAGTGGTGGTGATAGGAACCAGACGTCAACCTCTAAAAGCTCCCTCACAGAAAGTTCCTACATGAAATGGTTATGAATTCACTGCCTGATGACTGAGACACTGTTTTATGATAGTTTAGAGAACTTAAACTCCATTCATGGTGGAGGGATACATGCAGGGCACTGTGAGGCACAATAGTCCCCAAAGAAAACTTATTATTTCAGGTTTTCCACTATTTTCCATCATCAACATTCCATATAAACTCAGAAGACTCGTGTAGGTTCACTGGTGGTTCTGGATAGTAAATAAAATGTCTATATTTGTGTTGTAGTCATGGCGACCCCTGGTTCCTATCACCACCACTGTAAAGACATCTGAACCATTTCACACCAAACCACTCTGAATCACTCTGTTCACATCTCACACACTCAATTATTGGAAAATTTCAGAAAATGGGTGGACTTCCCCTTCAATACAATAGCAGACAATTTTGGCAGGGCATTTAATAATTCATAATGTGATTCTCTCTCTCATAATGTGAGGTGATGCTTCATAATTAATGCTGAAAATATTCATAATTAATGGCTTTAATCAACAGCATTAATGAGGAATGACAGATGATAAAACTTCACGAGGGAATCAGTGGGAATATGAACAGGTGCTGCTTTGCCCCCCCATCCATATTTCATATTTGATATTCTTTTCAGTCCTCACTCTGACAGACTAGTCACAGTTAGATTACTTATTTATTTATTTGTAGTTTAGATAAAGGGGTAATGTGGTTGACGTGTTTGGTGTCTGAAGTTTGCTTCTTTAGTTTTGGCACATGATTACAAGGCTAATGTAGCTACGCTCTTAAAATAGATGGTTCTTCAAGGGTTCTTTTGTAAAGGAAATGGTTCTATATAGAACCATTTGCATGCTTAAAGGGTTCTTTGCATGGTGAAAGGGTTCTAACGTTTTTCAGGACTTCAGGCGTTTTCTGAGAAGCTAACGTAGCGTCTGCGCTCATGCAGCAGAGCTCTGTTTGTCTTGCAATGACAGCACAATATCACCAGAGTGTATATATGGAAACATCACTCCCAGATATATATGCTATCAATAATCTCAGCTATTTACTTTTATTGGCAACCATCCCACGACCCTCCCACATTTATCTCCCATAATTCTGAAAAGGTGGGGGGGGTGTCCCCCTCCACCCCCCTATAATTGTGTTATCTGCCGCTTTAAAACAGTTTGTTTTCATTGTCTTTTCTCTGTCACAGTAAAGTCGGTGCTCTGAGGCTCAGGCCCTGCGGGGCTGCTGGGAGAACGCTGTTCTTTATGCAGACTCATTACAGTGAAAATGAAAACTCACTTCTTCACCCTGAGAGGCTATAAAACAGGCTCAAATTACAGAGAGGGAACTCAGAGCCCTGGAAACAAACCACTGTTTTCTAGACATTTCACTTAGAAAATTAAGGACCTGGGAACACAGAGCCCTACAGACATAGGATCCTGGAATTGTAGGGTCCTGGAAACACAGTTCCTTTAAAATACAGCACTCTGGGAACACAAGGTCCTAAGAGCATAGGTCACCTGGAATATAGGGTGCTGGAAACATTGGACCTTAGGAACATAGTGTCCTGGCAACATAGGGCCAGGATATATATATATATATATATATAGGATCATGTGAATATAGGGCCCTAAGAATATAGGACCCTAGGAGTGTAGGATTCTGGGAACAAAGGACACTGGGAATATAAGGCTCTGTGAACAAAGGACCTCGGAAATATAGGGCCTGGGTAACGTAGGACCCTGGGAACACTGGGCCTTAGGAACATAGTGTCCTGGCAACATAGGGCCCAAGGAACATACATGTAGGATCATGGGAATATAGGGCCCTAAGAACACAGGAACAAGCAAATATAGGAACATAGGGCCCTAGCAATGTAGGACCCTGGGAACATACAACACTGGGAACATAGGATGCTGGGAACATAGGGCCCTGTAAACATAGGGCCCAAGGAACGTAGAAACCTAGGAACATGGGAACCTGGAAACGTAGGGGCTTGGGGATTTAGGACCATGGAATAATAGAGCCCTAGTAATCTAAGACCCTGGAGATGTAGGGCCCTTGGTACAGTGTCCTGGGTACATAGGACACTGGCAATATAGGGCTTTGTGAATATAGAAATACATATACAAATACTTATACAAAAGATCATGGGAATATAGTGCCCTAAGAACACAGGACCCTAGGAATGTACGACACTGGGTACATAGGATCCTTGGCACAAAGGTTCCTGGGTACATAGGGCTTTGGTAACATAGGACCCTGGGAGCATTGGGCCTTATGAACACAGTGCCATGGCAACATAGGGCCCCAGGAACATAGGAACCTGGGAACATATGGCTATGGGAATACAGGACCCTCCAGATACTAGCTGAGAAAAATGAGGATCCTGCTGTACCCACACAGACAGACAGACAGACAGACAGAGAGATAGACACAGAGACAGAGACAGGGAGAGAGAGAGAGAGAGAGAGAGAGATGCTCTGGAGTGGAAAACAATCAGACACACTGTGAAAAACAAACAGCTGCTCTTTGCTGGACACGCTGACAGACGCTAAGTGCTGAAAGTAAGTGTGTGTTTGTTGGCTTGCATGTCAGCATCTGTGAGTTTGTTTGAGGGGAAACGAAACCCAGCAGTTTCTCTCGCTGTCTAATGCCTTTTTGATGGCAGCTGTATTTTTCAGTGCTACATCTCACTATTAAAACCACATTAAACACGCTGTACGACAGAGCGGCTCTGAGGGGCCTGCTGTAACCAACGCTGCCTCTCTGTGTTTATTTTTGTACATCGGTCATCACAGTGATAAACTGCTACTGCTAGGCCTTCAGTTCAGGCCTTAAATGTCCAAACACGGCCAAAATAAGAGTAAAACCGCCTCTACAATGATGCTCATTTCTCCTAGCGACCCTATGGCATTCTGGTGGTATGTTAGCTTTAAGCTAACAGTGATTCACATGAACGTTTTTTGGCGTTCTGGAATATCTGACACGTGTAAAATACAGTCCATATATTTTATCTGAAGCTACATTAGCATGCAGTCATATGCGAAAGTTTGTGCGCCCCTGGTCACATGTAAGTGTGAATAAGTTAGCACACCCTCTACAGAGACACACTTCTGCACGTTTTAATGCACAGTTTATTTACTGAATTTCATATATTGGAAAAAAAAATCATAAATTGTGGCCTGTGCAAAAGTTCTAGCACATTTTATAATTTATTTTTTTCCAGGTCAGCAAATAAATAGAAACTTTTCACTTAGAAGATCAACACAAACATGGAATGTAACCAGGGCACACAAACTTTTTATATGACTGTATATAAAATATATCTGGGGCTTATTATTATTATTATGTACAAGTATTTATATATGTATAAAATACATATGGACCATTTATACAATCCCACACCTGACAAAAACAAACATCTGCATGTTGTTTAAAGGTTGAAACGCTGGTTCTCCTGTGAAGCGTTCCTCCCTCGCTGCACCACACAGCGGGTCTCTCCGGCAGCAGAGCACGATGACCTTTCCTTCTGCTGTGGCCGCTGTTTGCTGAAGCTTATTCATTACAGGCTGTTGGTGGAATTTTTCAGAAGCAGCTGTCACTGCATGGCTGCCCTGGCCTCTGAGGGCTACTCAGCCAAGGTCACGCGATGTGGGGGGGGCAGCAGTGAACGGGACACAGCCGCAGGTGAAGATACAGCGAGAGAGAGAAGATTAGATGCTGTAGAACAGAGGAGGAGGAACAGGGCAGAGGAGAGTGTGGACAGAGCTGGAGGGACGTGTTGGTTAAAGTTTAGCTAGAGTTCAGTTCAGGGTTCGGTTGAAGTCTGATTAGGATTTGGGTGTGGTTTGTTTGAAGTTTGGTCAGGTTAGGTCAGAGGTTTTATTTGGGCTCTAGTTGGAGTTTGGATGGGGTTTGGCTGAGGGTTGATTTTCGATTTGTTTGATGTTTGGTGGTTTGGTTTGGAGTTTGTTGAGTGTTTGGTTTGGAATTTGGTCAGAGTCTGGTTTGAGGTTCGGTAGAGTTTTTTAAATGTTTGATTAGAGATTTGGTTGGAGTTTTTGAGGTGCAGTTGAGAGGTTGTTGGTGGTTGGTTGGGGATTTGTTGGGAGTTTGCTGAGCCTGGTTGGGGGTTTGGATGAGGTGTTGTTGGGAGTTTGTTGGGATTTGCTGGGATGGGAGTTTAGGTGGGGTGTTGGGAATTTGTTTGGGTTTGGTTGGGAGTTTTTTGGAGGTCTGGTTGGGGGTTGGAGTTTGCTAGGGTTTGGTTGAAGTTTGCTGGGGTTTGGTTCGGAATTCGTTGGGGTTTGGTGGGGAGTTTGTTGGGGTTTGGATGGGGTGTTGTTGGGAGTTTGTTGGGGTTGTCTGGGGTTAAGATGGGTTGTTGTGGGGATTTTGGTTGGGGGACTGGAGTTTGTTGGGAGATTGGAGTTTGTTGAGGTTTAGTTGGGAGTTTGTTGGGGGTTTGGATGAGGTATTGTTGGGAGTTGCTGGGGTTTGGATGGGGTGTTGGAATTTTGGTTGAAGAGTTGGAGTTTGTTGGGGTTTGGTTGGGGGTTTGGATGGAGCTTGGTTGAGGTTTGGAGTTTGTTGGGTTTAGCCAGGAGTTTGTATGGGAGTATTGTTGGGGGCTTGGAGTTTGTTGGGGTTTGGATGGGAGTTTGTTGGGGTTTAGATGGGGTGTTGTTGGGAGTTTGCTGGGGTTTGGATGGGGTGTTGCTGGGATTTTGGTTGGGAGTTGGAGTTTGTTGAGGTTTTGTCAGGAGTTTGGTTGGGGGTTTTGTTAAGTTTGGTTAGGGGGTTAAAGTTTGTTG